CTTCTGAGCAGACACACTGGCAGTTTCTGTTCTAAAATATATTTTCAAGTATGTTTGTCTGGCAACAGCTTTGAGAGGTAAAGATAGTGTCTCTGAGGCAAAGGGCAGATTTGTTTGCCTTCCAGGATAATAACGATAATGTCTCTTTCTGGAGCAAAGGTTGGACACATTTGCTGGCCGTCTTCTTTTCCGCACTCCGTGTTTCCTAAACTCAGGGCACTTCAGCTAGGATACAAACCCGGTGTGCACTGGGCGACTAACTTGTCCTACTTTGGCTGAGACATTCCTGATTATTGTACAAAATCCCGAATACCAGGAACCCTTCAGTTCGGGGCACAGCAGGGAGCTGGTCATCACAGTGAGCTGCATGCCCCTGAGATGCTCCATATCACCCCCGTGACATTTGGAAAACAGAGAACCATTATAAACTTGCGCTCATGCTGCCACGTGCCGTGATGAAGTCTTTCTATTCTGACTCAGGAATCTGCGGTGTGCATCCTTAAAACTGTGGTAGGCTAACTTGTTAGGTAGCAAGTTCAGGAAAATGTCAGTTCCTACACAGTTCTTTACAAATGTAAGTCCCCTAATTGCTGGGATTGTAATTGCGAAAAAAAAAAAAAGTCTATTTTAGATTGGGGGAATGGAGTAAGCCCATAAACTTTCTCTGAAGTTTTCCAAAGACCTTTTTATGAAATGAGTAATTCAACAGCAAATCAACTTATGAAAGTGACTTTGTAAGAACTTGTGTTATTTCTTTTGCTTTGCAGTATTTTTTTTCTCTTACTCGCAGGTTATTTAGAAGTGCATTGCTTCATTTCAAAACATTTAGGATTTTTTAAAATTATCTTTATGTTACTATTATTTAGTTTAATTCCACTCTGGTCAGAGAACATACTCTATGATTTCAACTTGAAATTTGTTAAGATTTGATGTGGTCTATTTTGGAAATGTCTAAGTGCATTGGTAAAAAAAAGTACTTTCCAGTTGTTGGTTGTAGTGTCGTCTGTATGTCAATTAGGTTAAGGTAGTTTATTGTATTGTACAATCTTCTATACTTCTATTTTTCGTCTGCTTATTCTGTTAATAATTGTAACATTTCAAAAAGTGATTATGGATTTGTCTCGAGGATATGTTAGGTGACACAGGTTTAGGAATGTTTTAGATTCCTATTTAATGGACTCCTTTCTCATTTTGAAATATCACTCTATTTCTAGTAATGCAGGCACACCTCAAAGATATTGCAGGCTCAATTCCAGACCACTGCAATAAAATGACTATAGCAATAAAGTGAGTCATAGGAATTTTTTGGTTTCCCAGTGCATATAAAAGTTATGTTTACACGAAACTGTAGTCTATTAAGTGTGCAATAGCATTGTGTCTAAAAAAATAAAAATCTATAATGCACGTACCTTATTGCTAAAAAATGCTAACCACCATCTGAGTCTTCAGGGCGGGTCATAATCTTTTTGCTGATGGAGGGTCTAGTCTCAATGTTGATAATGATACAAACCTTTAATTTCTAAAAAACACAATATCTGTGAAATGTGATAAAATGAAGTATAAAATGAGGTATGCCTGTACTTAACTTCAAATCTACTTTGCTAGGTTTTAATAAAGCTATGCTAGCTTTTTTAAAAAAAATATGTTTTATTGATTTTTTTACAGAGAGGAAGAGAGAGGGATAGAGAGTTAGAAACATCGATGAGAGAGGAACATTGATCAGCCGTCTCCTGCACACCCCCCACCAGGGATGTGCCCGCAACCAAGGTACATGCCCTTGGCCAAAATCGAACCTGGAACCTTTCAGTCCACAGGCCGAAGCTCTATCCACTGAGCCAAACTGGTTAGGTGTTTCAGTTTTGCATAATATAATTTTTCCATTTTTTATTTTTTAATTTTATTATTATTTTTAATCCTCGCCTGAGGATTTTTTTTCCATTGATTTTTTTAGAGAATGGAAGGGAGGGGGAGAAGGGGAAGAGAGAAACATCAACGTGATAAAGACTCATCGATTGGTTGCCTCCCACTTGAGCCCTGACCGGGTCCGGGGATCGAACCTGCAACCCTTTTGTCTGCAGGCTGACTCTCTAACCACTGAGCGATTGGCCAGGGCAATTCTTTTGATTTTTTAAGTATTTTTTTGTAAAGTATGTATTTTATAAATAGCATGTAGCTGGATTTTTATTTTTATTTTATAAAAAAAGATTCAGCCTTTGCCTTTTAATTGAAGTTTTTGATTCATTTACATATAACTTCTGTCATAGTTAGAGATTCAAGATTTGTGTCCCCCCAAATTAATATGTTGAAACCCTACCCCCAATGTGATGTATTTGAGAGGTGACTAGGATTAGATGAGGTCATGACAGCAGAGCCCTCAAAAATGGGATTAATGCCCTTAGAATGGGAGCTTGCTCCCCACTCTGCTCTCTGCCATGGCGGGCAAAGGAAATCAGTGTTCTGCAACCTGGCACAGGGCTCTCCCCAGAACTCAGCCATGCTGACACCCTGATGTTGGACTTCCAGCCTCTAGGACCATAAGAAAAAATTTCTGTTGTTTATGAGACATCAGTTTATGGAATTTTATAATAGCAGCCCAAACTAACTACAAGAGTTGGGTTTATGTCTACCAACATATTATTTGTTTCCATCTTTTTTTTTGGTCTTTTATTTTTCTTTTCTTGAATTATTTTAGATTAAGCAGGTATTGTTTATTCTGTTTTTTTCTCTACAGTATTTTAGTTATATATTTAAAAAATTATATTTTGGTGTCTTCCATATAAATAAAATATATATCTATATCTTATTGTCTACTTTAAATTAGCAACTTTACCAGTTATAAGAATGCAAGAATACTTCAACAGTTCAATTCCATTTACCTACCTGCCACTATTTGGGCTAATGTTACCATATACATTAGCACCATGAGACATTAACATGAGTCAAGAAAAATTTGAGTGCTGCTTTTTGGATCTTTTTCTCAATTCCTTTCCTGTCTGGAATTGTGATGCTTAATTCCAAGCTGCTTTGGCAGTTTGTGAACTCAGACCTCTTTCCCCTCAGTCTAATAAAGACTATCACTTTCTGTGTGAGCTCTATTCCCTGCATCACAGTTTGAAAAATGCCCTCAGAATAAAGCTGTGGCACTAATGTAGAGCTCACCATATGTGCTTCCCTACTTAGGGACTGAGAGAGTCCTGCACATCCTGGTTCCTGGCCAATGCCTTCAAACAGTTGATTTATGTATGTCACCTAGATTTTATTGTTGTTTTTGGCAGAAGAGTTAGTTCCATATCAGGTACATGGTTGAGACTGGAAATTCCTTTGAACATTTTTATCAACAGAACTTTCTCCTGATGTAATAGCTGATACACCACTAGTAGAGTATTTTCCTTTATTTATCTACTAGAGGTGTGCATGGGGGGAGGGGCAGTCCCTCAGCCCGGCCTGTGCCCTCTCGCAGTTTGGGACCCCTTGGTGGACATCCCCCGAGGGATCCTTGGCACTGCTGCAGAGGCAGGAGAGGCTCCCGCCACTGCCACTGCGCTCCTCAGCTGTGAGCCCGGCTTCTGGCTGAGCAGCACTCCCCCTGTAAGAGCGCACTAGCCACCAAGGGGCAGCTCCTGCCTCGAGCGCCTGCCCCCTGGAGGTCAGTGCAGGTCATTCCGCCATTTGGTCTATTTGCATATTAGCCTTTTATTATATAGGGTTTTCAAAATAATGAGATGATTCCTAGTATCCTCCAATGTTGACCAATTATTATTTTTGGTATAATCATGACCTCAAGGATTTAGACATATTTGTTGTGCCTCAATTCATTGTAGCTATATTCTTAGTGATACCTAAATGTTCCTATTTTTGACCATTGGGAGCCTCTTTAAGTTAGCTCCTGAGTCCTTTTGACATGACCCTGGTGATCTCTGATACCTTTCTTGTTATATATATATGACAAACTATTCTAGGATCACCTTGTGTATTTTTCCCTCCTGGAAGTAAGGAACCCATGAGAGTAAGAGGGGAGGATCAAGGGTAAGATGTCTTCTCAGGGTACTGCCATGGTTCAGTCAAGGCAAGGAGACCAGAGGATAAGTTGAAGATATAGGTGATTTTGCTGATGCCAGTTCATGATTTCCAGAGGACACGGAGAAAGATTCTTAGAGGTAGGGAAAGGATGAGAGATTGGGTAAAACCAGTAAGTGAGAGGAGAAAAGGACATGGAGAATGGAAGCCTGGTGAATACTAACATGTGTTGTATCTTAAGCCACTTAGTATGTGTATGTTTACCTTTTGTCCTAAAAAAATTGCACTACATTAAAAATCACCATAAAACAATTCCCATGTAACTGCTAGTTGCATAGGTTCAAATACAGGACTTGACTGACGATATTTACTGGCAATGTCTTTATTTTAATCAAATATTTATTTGGAAAATATTTCTGCACAGAGCTCAGAAAATGTGAATATTTCCTCTTTTTCATTATCTTAGTAAAGTGGTTCCCTTTGAGTAGTGGGAAGTAATTATCAGATACTTGTGAACAAAATGGGGCTCTGTAATTAATCCTACCTAAACTAACCTCACAGGATGATCTGATCATAATTTCCTAACTGGGCAGGTAGTGGTGGGTAGTCACACCCCATTCCAAACAGAGGGAACAGGATGTGAATAGGTGCATAAAGGAGAAGGATAGAAGGTAAGGCTATAAGGTGGCTAAATATAATAGGCTTTTTTTTTTTGCCACAATATGGAGTTTGCACTTTATACTATACCAGAAGGAGAAAATAACCATTGGTTAAAATTAGGTATATGCAAGAAATTTAGTTAGTAAGATATAACCAAAACATTTTAAATAATTAGGTATGGGAGATTAAGTGTGCTTCCCACATCTCTGATTTTATAACTGGATGAATAATAGAGTGGAGTGGGGGTGGTAGAGTGGAAATGAGCAGGCATTGGGGAATGTGAGTATGATGAATGTGGTATTTATATATCACTGTTAATATATTTATCTATAGTTGTGAGTGAGTGTATCCCTCATGGTATTTTTTTAACCTTATATGTCTCTTAGGATAACCTCTCTACTTTGCACAGATAATGAAATGTATTCCCATGTTTTTATTAGGAAACATTCATCTTGTCTTGCTGCCCTTTCAGCTGTTTACTTGTTCTGCAAGCTTTCATGTTTTCTTGAATAATGTTATGTACCCAGTGGATATGTTTATAATGAAAAGTCACAGATAGGGCTTTTTCTCATAGAGATAATATTAGTCACTTCAAGAAAATATCATCACACAAGTGGGACAGATTGAAAGTTCGCAGGATGTGCCTTGCTGGATGTAGCCATAAAAGGGGTGCAGTGCTCCTCACCTGATCAGACTTCAAGGCAGGAGTCTTGAGGACTGAAAATCCTCGAGGAAGACACAGGCATCATGGAGGCCGGCAAACAGGATGTAGGAATGGAAAAGAATACGGAGTTTGGGAGGCTGCTCTCTTGCACATTTCTGGCTTCCATTAGAGTTTTCCAGATTAACTGACTTTTAATCACCTTGTTATTTATTTCGTGTGTAAGTTTAAAATGGAAAGATTTGCTCCCTTGTAAGTACAAATGTTGAGAGAGGTAAGGATTTGAGTTATTTTATTTAACCAAGTTCCCTGTCTTGGTAGGAGGTCCAACGGAGTTGTGAATAGTCATGAAGCATTATCACAGTATCTCTCATTTTCTCTTTCTGTCTCATGTTAGGTCCTCATTCCATCACTCCTGACCATTGAAATTACATCCCTATTTGCAGACCTCCTTACGTGGGATACGTTTCAAACTCTGCTAGAAAGAACTTTACACACCATCCAACCAGTCTGAACAATATGCATGTTGTTAAAGTAATTAAACAAGGAGACCATTAGACAGAGGTGGCTGTAATGCCCTGGTGTCCTACATAAGGAAACCAAAATCTAAGCCTTTAATTGCCTCAAAGTTATGAACTCAAACACTAAGGACAACCAATCACAAATAGCCAACAGCCAACTAGGCTTAAACTACAGCTAATCCAATAATTTCCTTTCTTTGCTTCCTCATTCTATGTAATTCTTTCCTGGCTCCTGTCAGCAGACTACTCCTAAACACTTCTAGTTTGATGCTATCTGATTCCAATCCATAAATATTCAAATAAACTCTTAAAATTTTTAAAATGACTCAGTTTACCTTTTAACAATGTTCTGTGGGTCAGTTTGTGCTTGAACCAGACCTCTATCTTTTGTTTTTAACTTTAATGTGGGATAGTGTTTTTGAAACTTGTTTCCAAAAGGCTTGAATAAAGTCCAAATACCTTGACATTTGAAGTCTTCCACAATCCGGTTGCAAATTTATTATCAGTCACTGTTCCCCTCAGCCATCATGAATCACTCCATGTTCTTACTCATGTCATTTCATTTTCATATGGGTTTGCTGTCCATCACTAGGGTGTAGGCGCACAAGGGCTGATTTCCAGGAATTAGAGCAATTGGAAGATTTTGAAATGAATGAATCATTCATAATTCATGCATGAATTTGTTTGCCTCCTCCTCGATCTCTGCATATCTAAATTTTGTGCTTACTTTAAGAAATATCATATATCGTTTCTTTCATGGTATTTTTCTAGATTCTTAAGGAAGAAAACTATGTAATCTGAAATCCCATATTTTATTTATGCCTCTTTTGTGATACTTATTTTTTAAAAATTATTCTGTATTTTTAGTCTCTAGAATGGAGTCTATATTATACTTACTTTTGTATTTTTCCCTAGACCCTAGACTCACTTTTTAAAATTAATGTCCTTTAATGTTTTATTAATTAACAATTAAAGTTAAAAGAGAACTAGGAAGTGATTGTTGCATGAATTCTTAACTCTCTAGAAAAGGTTTTATGTAAACACACATGGATCTCTTTTTTTTATTAAAATAAAAGAAACCTAGTAAAAAAGTTATAGCCAACTTTGAAATCATCATTTCACTGATTAACAACTTTAATAACAATAATAGCCATGCTTTACTGAAAACTGACCCTGTACCTTGTGAGGGATCATATCTATTTAATGAGCATATTGAGGTTGAGTCTGAGTTTTATATTTGCTAAGTATGTGAATTTATATTTAAAGATTGATCTAACTCCAAAGCTCTATCCACTAGGCCATACCTCTTACATTCTTTGGGTTAAGAAATACTTTTGGTTAACTAAGTTAAATGTTTGTGTGATGTCCACAGTGGTGATACAAACATGACCAAGAAACCTAGGTATCTGCAGTGATGTCCCCCTAATGGAGATCTGATGACTGTATCGCTAACAAAGGAAGAAGGGACTCTTACTAAGCTTTTAAGTGAAGTCCCAGAATTTAAGTTCATCCTGGTCACCGTTTTCTATAATGATTGAATAGTACAACCTGGAATCCAGTGGTGAAAGGGAATTTGGGAAGTATTACTAACTGTGCTACCTGATTACAGTTTAAAGACCTGTATATTCCGAGGAACGGCAGGTCACAGGATTGCCTTCTTCTATGCTGCCTCATTAACCTAACATCTCTTGCCTACTTTATCTCCAGCCATCCCTGGGATTTGCTAATTGCAATGTCTCTAGAGTCAATGGAAGGTAAAACCACACAGGTGCAAAACAAATTAAGTGCAGAATTGCTAGTTTTGTTTCACAGCATCAGCAGATTTTTGTCCTTATGATTTACTTTTTTGTTAAAAAATACATAGTATGGCTAAGTTAATGAGCTTTTATTTTTGTAATTATGTAGTGGGTGTTCATTACACTTTAGCTGGAAGCTGGAGAACATTACCTCTCTTTCCATTCATTTCCCTAATTGACAGAACTAGGTAAATAAAGGATGTTCTAGCACTTTAAAAAATTATTTATTGCTTTTTAGAAAGGAGAGAGAGAGAGAGAGAGAGAGAGAGAGAGAGAGAGAGAGAGAAACATTGATATTTTGTCTCACTTATTTAGGCATTCATTGGTTGATTCTTGTATGTGCCCTGATTGAGGATCGAACCCAAAACTTTGACCTATTGGGACAACATGCTAACCAACTGAGCTACCTGGCCAGGGCTCTTGCTCTTTCTTGACTCCTTTCCTGCTCCTGTCTGTTCCTGTTGGTAAGGCGACTTTCTGCCTCTCCACTTTAGCTCTTTTTTTTAATACCTCTCAGTAGTAATCATGAATGGAAATTATCCATTATTTTTTGTATAGTGATTTATATTTTACATACCCATTATCTTACTTTAGCCTAAAAAAAACACAATCTATGGAAGGTAGACTGAGAGTGTTTTTATTTCAATTTTATAAATGAGGAGTCAGATCCTTTTCCTTTTGAATGTGAGAAGAATCGCATTTGTAGTGCTGCTATCATCACAGCCATCAACTTCAAGATCGGATTGTTGTAGCAGAGGGCCAGAAGACAGGTGAGCTGAACTCAAGTTCTTATTCTTTGTTTTCTCTTACTTATTGCAATAAGTACAGCACTGAGTTAATAGCATGGCCTTTGGACTAGAACAGGAAGAACACAAATCTCAACTCTGACACTTAGTAGCTGCATGCTATTGGGCAAGTTACTTGATCGTTCTAAGCTTCAATTTCCCATTCTAAAAAGATGAGAATTATGATATTTATAACTACTTCAAAAAATAATAGTCAGAAACTATTTAATTGCCAGGCCATCATTATTGTACTTACACATATCTATTCAAACTAGGTATGTTGTTCCAGTATCTATTCATTCCTTCAACAAATATTTGTGTTCACTATGTACTAAGCATTGTGCAGTTAATCAGACACACACAGTCCCTGTGCTCAGTGGAGTGTACATAGCAGAACGTCCAAGTTCATTTGGATATCAGAATGTACACAAGAGAATATCTACGAACATTCAGATGCCAAGAGGGCAGGATTTTGATGAGGAGCTGAAGAGACAATGAACCACAGTAAGGGAGAAGGAAAACCAGGCATATGTGCTGCTGCCTTGAATCCAAGCCAAGAAAGTGTTTTAAGATGGTGGTAGTGATCAATTGCATTAAATTCCTCTGAGAGTTAAAGAGATACCTGGAGAATGAAACTTTGATTTTGGCAAAATGGATATCGGGGTGAGGCGGGCGGTGAGTGGGGTCTTTGATAAGGGCAGCTTTAGTGAGACACAGGAGAACAGAAAATAACTACTCAGCACATGCATCCTTAGCTCATAATTGCTAGAAGTCTTCTGTTCTGAAAGAGAACATTCATCTTTTGATAAAGTGGTTGACTTATTTAAATTGAGCATTGTTAGTACTGCTATACTTATGCTCCTAGTTTTTACCATTGCATCAGAATGCCTGAAATATGTCCTTTGAACTAGCCTATTTATTGCTGGATTTTTTTTTATACTTAACATTGCATATGGCTTGATAACCAGGGACAAAAATTCACCATCCTATCTCATTTTCCTAATATCCAGCATTTTATAATGTTTGAATAAAAATACAACTCTTATTGGTCTGATAAGTTGTTCAATATTCTGAGGATTTCCAGCTATTTTAAGGATCTCCCTTGCTACCATTTCACAGACATCTTTTAACACGACATTTATTTTTCCAGACAAGAGAGGGACATCTTATCTTCTAACATTGGCATAATTGATTTCTCATAAAGTAACAAAGAGACAACCTCTAAGTGACTTGGGTTTTTGTGATCTTAAATATTAAAGTGCATGATGACTTCTGGCATTTGATTTCCTGTTTGGGGAGAATGTGGAGAGATTTGAGAGATGGGGTGTGATGCTTTTGAGCTTTATGATTGGGGCTAGGGTAGCGAATTTAGAAAAGAATCACCTTCATGTTTGACACAGGACACAAGCTCTCTCTGGAGGTTATAAATGATATTTCAGCTTAAATTGGTTTTTCAAATTGCTAGAATCAAAGCGAATACATTCAGGAAGATTTTGACACTTCTTTTAAAAAAGTTTAAAATTTTGCTTTCATTAAATAATTACCAAAAAAAAAAGAATCCTATATAATAAA